CCCACCCCCAGCAGTGGGACGTTAAAAATGGCTGAATACACATACAATTGTATAGAATACATACATACACAATAAATATATATACAATTGTACAGCTTTCGATGTACATTAATGTACTGAAATTAGCTAAAACTTACGAAATGAGGCCAATCTCGAAGTTTTCACTAATAACCATTGAAGAGTTCCATTATCATGCTCTTCAGTGTAGTCTAAAAATTTATAGTAAGAAGTCTAGAATTAATAAGAAGGCTAGATTGGTCTGATATATTCTTCAAAATAACTAGCGTTTTATTAAAAAAAAAACACTTCAGCTACTACTTCACATTTTTTGAAATTCAATTTATGTTTTAAATAATTACGATAGGATAGGTATAAAAAATATCGATTTAAAAAGAAAAACAATATTTTATTATTCACATAGTAGGTACTATAGTTGGTGTTAAGATTTTAATTTTCAATCAAAATGTTGTAATGGTGCAAAAATTATATTACTCCAATAAAATAAATAATAATATGGAGATGCAAATTTTTTAGTAAATTCAGTAAATTATATTTAAGTATAATGTAGGTATAAAATTTATTATATATATATATATATATATATATATATATATATATATATATATATATATATATATGATATGATTCCATTGCTCATTTAAAAATAAATGAAAGCAGTATTTTTTATAAATATATGTTTTTATTGAATTTATTGTCTGAAATATTCAAATGAAAATAGTTTAAAACTATTTTGGCAATTTTTTCCCTCTCAATGCGTTTCTAAAGAAGTTTCACTTCAAAAATCCTTCGTATTATTTGCTTATTTTATATATGAAACTGCAAAAGTTAATATTTAGTTATGCATTTAATCATACTACTATCCGTATTAATATTATAAATGTAAAAGTTTGTGAGTATGGATGTTTGTTACTCTATCACGCCAGAACAGCTGAACAGATCTGGATGATTTTTGCCACAGAGATAGATTATAGTCTGGAATAACACATAGGCTACTTTTATCCTGGAAAAATCTATGGTTCCCGTGGGATAGGTTTGTTTTTATTTTTTTTAGAGAAGAACCCGAGCAAAGCGAAAGTGAGCCGCTAGTACCTGGTATATAAAAGATTTTTCAATTAAGAGTTTAACTTAGTGCTATTATCTTAAGTGCAAACCGTAAAAAATACATTTATTTCTACTAACTGTTGACTGTTAAATAGATTCATGTAATAGCGGTATATAAATGTTACACCTGCTGTAGTTGTGAGAAATGTTATATTCATAACTCATAATAATAAGAATTTATCTAAAGTATGATAATTGCTTAAAACACAAATGGCCGATTTCACCAACTTCACTTAAGCTACCACCTACGTATATATCCCTAGCTTAAAAGCTGCCCTTTTTTTTGTTATCGCTGGGGAAGTCCATCATGGGATGGGATGGACCCTACCGGCCGTCAATGGGTAGGGTACTGTGAGACTCCTACTCACTAAAATCCACAGCGGAACCCGTCGCTGCACTGCAATAGGGTGTTGCATGATCGCTTGCGCATTCACTACAACATCCCTGCGGTCGGCCCTTACCCCGCGGGCCATCCTCGCAGCTTAAAAGCTCCCCTAAACTAGCCCCAAAATTAAATTTCGTTTACCATCGTCAGAGATTTTTTTTTAAATTATTAGGTGACCCCTAACTGTCGGTGAAACAGAAACTGTCCCCTAACAGCCTCCAATCCTATTAGATCCATCCATATGATGAGGATATGCATAGGGGATCCCTTAAACTTAGGTGACATTGGTGAAATCGGCCATAAATTTCCCATTTTTAGTTTAAACATAATGTAATGTGTTCATTTATATTTCCAGTAAGCCCCTGAATTTTTTCATTTATTAAATTTTATATTTAATATGTTAAAATATTTTTTATTGATGTGAAAGTGTCTGAAGTAGGCGTGGCTTGCGCATTGGTTTGGTGGTCTGCGTTTAGGCAGACCTGCCGCCGGGGCGCCGTAGTAGTTATGCGCAAGCGATCCTGCGGCGTCCCACTAAGGCGGGGGGAAGGGATGTCGGGTTTTAGTGGGTAGTACCGGCTCTTCTAGCCGGTGAGTCCCACATCACCACCTGGGGGATCAGGTGGTATGCGTAAATGCATTTCCCGACGATAAAAAAAAAAAAAAAAAAAGGCGTGGCTTGCGCAAGCCAGAGCACTCATTTTCGGACGTATTTTCATCCCTCTGGGAATATTATAAATCAATATTTATGGGAATGAGATGATCTCCCGCGGTAAAAAGTAGCCTGTGTCACTCTCCAGCCCGCCAACTATCTCCACACAAAAAATCACGCCAATCCCTCACTCCGTTTCGACGTGAAAGAAGGACTAACAAACAAACAAACCAACAAACACACTTTCACATTTATAATATTAGTATAAATTAAATAAATTGAAGTCCTAAATTATGTTTTTTTTTTCAATTGTGACTTTATGCTTGCCAGTCAAAATATAAGGTAAGTACAGGGAAGTGATAAACGTGATATCTCCTTTTAAACGTGATTATTATCATGAAAATTTAATACGTTACCTTAAAGTCTTCTGTCTTTGGGATTTGTATCTGCTACCACCTTCTAGATATTGCCAGTCATATAATTATTATCTAAGGAATATTATAAAATGTCATAATTAAAAAAATATTTGTTTAATGATTTGTCTAACGTTGATGCAGGATCGATCTGATTTTTGGACGATTTCAAAGAATCTACTCAATTCTGCTATATATATTATTTGATATGTTACCATTTATTAGCAATTACGTAACAATTGTTTTAAATAAATTAAAAAAAAACACTCTTATGGGTTGAAAAAATATTTTTTTTTACCTTTGTACTTTTTGTTAAAAAGTAATATTTATGCATTTCAGTAATAAGCTATCCTAGAAAAAAAGTAAGACGACAAGTTATTATTTAAGCAGACAGTGTTCCGACATTGTGTTATTAGTAAGTAATTACGTTTTTGTTTCTCAAAGAAAACTCTAATAGAATTTATTCATATAAATAGGGCGGTTGGAGCTAACGTGTAATTGCATCTGTACTAGTTTTTATATGACCCTTCAATATGAATTTTCTTTGATCATTTAAAAGCCAGTCATTTGACTGCCGCATTGGTCTAGTGGCTAGCATATATCGCAGAAAACCATGAAGTCCTCGATTTGAATCCCGGTCATTCCAATTTCCAAAATAGTTACTGGATTTTTTCTGTCATGAAATACTCAGTAAGTAAGAAGTACTCAGAGTTGGGGTGTTGGCGGTAAATCTATACTTTGAAAAGCACGATAAGCTGTCAATTCTGCGCCTTATCTCTCATCGGTCATGTCAAGCAAGAAGCGCATTTTCTACTGAATTAATTTATTAATACCGTTAAAGCTTAGCTTCTTTAAATCGTATAGGAATTTAGAATAAAACAAAAATCTTTCTGGAAAAATTTAGTTCCTAACAAATCCAGCAACCAAATTCGTTTAGTAGTTTTCGAAATTAGTACCCACGCATTAAGTGGACGTGGATGACCCTTCAAGCCAATGTAGTTGATATCCAACAATAGCTATCGTAATACAAAGGTTTTATCAGTACCGGATTCAACCTTAGCGCCGCCCCTGGACAATGTACAAAATACTGCCCCGTCATCAAATTTTTGCATAAAATGGATAAAGTTTCGATAAACTTAAATTTTTTTTCAATGTCAATGCAAAAAAAAATTTTTTATAATTCATTTTTTGGAAAATAAAAAGACATTTTTGATAACGCGAAGAAATTTTTTATTTATCCTTCGAATTTTGCCGCGCTTGAAAATTTGCCGCCCTGGGCACTAGCCCCGAGTGCCCCTAGTGTAAATCCAATGCTGGGTTTTAAGGTAGGTAACCATTTCCTATATGAGGATGAAAAGTTCTTCTACCCTCTTATCTATGATATATTTAGTCTGTGGCAGAGAAGAGTTTGGTGAATTTTTATTTTAATATTTTAACCGACTTCAATAAAGAGGAGGCTATCAATGCGATACGTGGCATGTGCAATATTAAGATTTCATCAGAATCGGTTCAGTCTGTCAATCTATTTGAATTAATTTAATATAGAAACTTTGTACGTAAAAAAATTTCGATGTGTTTCTATATACAAAGGAGGATAAAAAATAAGGAGGAGCTATAAAATATTTATTATATTATTATTACTATATATACTATAACGAGCGACTTACCCTCGCTATGCTCGCGTCGGGCGTCACTAGGTACGTTTAAATTTTTTTGAGTGGAACCCTAATTCTTTTTCTAAAATAAAGGTAGCCTAAGTTTCTCCTTATATCATCAGCTATCTGCCAGTGAAATTCCCGTTAAAATTAGTCTAATCGTTTCGGATATTAGCCGGAACAAACAGACAGACATTTTTATTAAAAATTGAGTTTTTCTTATAAGTGGGTACCGTATATTCGTTTATTAAAAAATTGTTATTTTGACGTCACAAACAGACTGTACAATTTTATTTATCTGTATAGATGAATAATTTACAATTTATATTGATTCCTACTTATGAAAATTAATTGGTATTTTTTGGTAGAGCTTAGTAAGGCGCAGTTCGAATACATTGAAAAATATATTTTTCTAGACTAAAATCTGAGAGCCATTATATTGTTTAATAAGTTCATAATTTAAGAATTATTATTTTGTGCAAGCAGTATCTTGCTACCTCTTCCCACTTATGTAGGTTCGATAGAGACGTAGAGAAATCTTTTCGTTTGACAAAATATATTATTTCATAATAAAATTTGCTAAGCCGTATTGAATCTACTACCAGTTTGCAAATGCAGTTTGCAGGATTAATGTCTTAGAAATTCTAGGCCACATTCTTAAATCATCTTATTATCATCATATTATTAATAAACATATGCCTAAAGTATAAGTAAAACAAATTACTACCCTGTATGGAAATCAAACTTGAAATGACGTATAAGGATATATGACGATGCTGCTGTGTCACTTTCACTTGGAAAATAGGTCTTCTCCATTCTACGTGACAATGGCGAGGTAATATCCTCAACTGGCATGTTCTGAAGCCATTAATAAAATTGAATTAATTAAGGCTTTTAGTTAGTTCATTTCTTTGTAGATCTGTCTTGTAAAGTAAAATAATAAAACCTTTAAAATTTTTACTTAGGTATAATTAAATCGTACACCATATTCATACTGTTTTTTTCTTCATTACCACTTATATGTATATGTATATATATAACATTAATATTATTTAAATTTAAGAAAAAAATCCAATTTACCATCCATTTCTTGAACTAAGAGTTATTTTTAGAAATTAATTTGAGATACCAGTTTCTAGATTTGTAATTTTCATTATATGTATATGCTGACAAACTCTTATAAATAGATAGACATAGTACTCTCTCTCTCTCACCTACTTCTAATAAGATATTTTAATAATAATAGTATCATATTATAATAATAAAAGATTCAATTTAGTTCAATAACATTATTTTATTTATTTTTCAAACATGTTAGAATAGTACTAAATAATTAATTTTAAATTCGATATAAAGTAGAGTCTATTTGATATTTTATTTACGATTCAAGAACGTGTACAGATATCATAATATGATTTGACCTTAGCCCTTGACATAGAAGAAACTTATATGCGAATGAGAAAAAAATAAAGGAATTACATAATAATGGAAAAATATTTCCCAAGAATGCAACAATAAAAATTCTAATTACCGCATAACATCTAACGGAAAAATACAACGAAAATTACATACATTTCTTATTTATCAATACTTACAAACTAAAAGATCTAAAAAACTGACACAACACAATCAAAGACACCGTCACTAAAAAAAAAGCACTCCGAAAAAAAATACGAAAGCCTACGGCCGGAGTCTAGATTGATAGCCGTCTCTGCACGTTCTACGATACATTTGGGCGTGGCCAACATAACAGGTTACTAAGTACTGAGCACCGTCAAAAAATACCCATAAAAAATATAATGGCAACCTAAGCTCTACGATCGATCTTGCCTTACCAACCGAAACACTGTGCACGTAGAGTCGAAAAAATCGCACCATTCTGAACAACCAATCATAGGTAGGCCACGCCCAATTAACGTTCCGCCTTCAAACACGCCCCACCCACTCAGCGACACTGGCGCCACACGCTTCATACAAGTGGCGTAGATCAGTACTAATTAGAAAGAGAAGGGTATGTCCTGGGCTGTTCGTTTCGCGGACAATTTCCTTCGAACCGATCATTAAGTGTTTAAATTCAACGGGAGTTGGTTGTGTCGGGTTACTTCGGAGGGGTGCGCTATTAAAATCTTCAAACATTATCTTTAATTGCACAGAATTTGTGCTGGTGTGCGTAGATTTTTTTGTTGACTCTTTACGAAATGACTGTTATTCGTGTATAGTGGACGGTGAGACTAGTGCGATTAATAATAACGATATAGGACGTAGGTGATCAAAAATGACACCAGTGACGTGAAAAATTAAAATGACTCCACGTGCTTTTTAATTGTTTCATAATTAACCCGTAATTGCCGTACCATATTGATTGAGCCAATTATAATTTTGATTTTCGCTTGCCTTTTATCTTCTAGTTGCCCACAAAAATCGTTGCGACTACGTAGAGGCGAGTGTTAAACTTTGTGTGAATTGTTCATAGTGACTGTGATGCTGTGTTTGCTGGCTTGAAGCGTTACCAGTTACCGTGAGTTTTGTTTATTATTTATTTACTTTAAGTGCAAAATATTAAAGCGAATTAACATTTTCTATAATAGGTAAATAAATATTTTTTAAGCAAATTTCTATTCTCTACCATTACAAATGTTCGGATATGTTTAATTTTAAAATTAGGTACTAATATTATTATTATGAAAGTATAATTATTGATAATTTAATTTTTTGTTTAGACGGATTCTAATAAGAAACTATAAAAAGAGGTTGCATATTGTTAAGGAATATTAATGAATTTTATTGAGTAGATAATTGTATGGCGAAATATTATCGGCGCAATTTTAATGGCCGTTCAATAAAAAAATTATAATTAAATGATGCAAAAAATTTTGAGGAAAACAATGTTTTTTATGAAAATTCCGTTAAACATTTAATGCAATTATCTACATTTAAAGCGAATTCTTTATCTACATTCAATAAATTTTTAAAAACTAATATGTTAGTGTTTTCATTTCAATAAAAGTTTTAAAAATAATTAATCTAAGATTTAATAAAAGAATATACTGCTATGAATTATGTTAAAGACATATTTTATAATGTTATAATTAGAAAATTGTAATAAAAACTAATGTCATATTATTACATTACATTCTAGCTACTATTCGAATCAACTGCAATCATTATTTCATAACTACCATCAAGGCGAACATCAGATTAACCGTACTATGAGTATATACTAAAAAGGCAGAATAAATATGTTTGTTTGAATGACTTTATCCATTATACTGTTGGTCACGGGTTCTATATTAAAAAAAAAATCTATTAATATTATACATTTATCTATACATCTATACCGACTTATAATTAACGCGAAATTAAATCTTAGCGCTTTTTTGTCCAAACGACCAATTTATCGAAAGAATTTTTAAACACAGACTTATGGACTTTTAAACGTCAATTTTATTGGTATAAAATACACATTTTATTTAAAAAATCTGTTTTTTATATATATATATATATATATATATCTTAGAAATAAACCTTAGTTTTAAAATAGGCAAAACAAATTCTATTATAAAATATGACAAGCACTGGTATTTTGAACCAATAAGCATAAAGGCAACGAAATATAGAGAATAAAAAATGGAGAGTTATATTATTATTTTTTCTCCTTCTTATGTATGGGAGGAATTTTTCAATAAATTATTGTTTTCCATTTCAAATTAACCCGTACCCAATCCTTCTAACTTTAGTATAGCAATTAGTTCTAAATACAGTATTATACTAAAAGGCTACAACAAATCAATACTAATTATTTATTTACTAGCATTCGTCCCCTCACTCATAAATAACCTCAAAACGTTTCGTTTTACGATTGAATTGTCCTTTTGTACTATTTTAATATTTTCGTGAACATTCAAGAGTCGATGTGGTAAATTTATGTTTTTTTCTCCGTAGATAGAGTTTGAATTGAATTTAACCGACGCAATGGTAGAGCAAACATTCTAGATACCAAATAAAGTGAAGAAAACTATACGAAAAATTAGAAATTAATTTACAAGTTAAAAGAGTTTTTCATTTCAAATAAACGGAGATATAATTTTCATTCGAAATACGTACGGCAATATAAAAATTCTTTATTTTATATCTGAGTATATAAATAACCATTATTTTTTCTTTCTCTAAATTGTTAAATAATAATTTCTTAAACGTTAGGTAGGTAAATTTATCATTTCTATACCGTTCATAAAATTTCGAGTTCTATTATATACATATATAATATATCCAAAAACATATCCCACGGGAACAGTACATTTTTCCGGGATAAAATATATATGCATATGCTATTTTATTGCTATTCCAGAATACAATCTATCTCTGTGCCAAATTTCATCCAGACGGTTAAGCCGTTCTGGCGTGAAAGAGTAACAAACATCCATCCATCCATACTCATAAACTTTCATATCTATAAAATTAGTATGGATAAGTGTCACATTTAAACTTAGTGCTAGTTCTTAATAGTAATTCTCTCTAACTTCTATCTTCGAACATATTTTCTGTACATTTTCATTTATAAAAAGACTTACATAGCTATTTATACTTTTATCGTAGCAAAAATAATAATATTATAAAAATAACTACATTTTATATAAACACGCAATTTCATAGTATATTTTTTTATGCCACAAGCGAAAGTATAAATTATTATGAGCTCTCTAACTTAAAGTAAAGAATCTGATTTATATATAAATGTATAATAATGAGAAAACTAAGAAATATATGTTATAAAGTAAAATATATATTTTTAATGCTTCATATATGCACAGCTTCTATATTAAATTCATTTATAAATTAAATATTGGGAAATTTAGGCAAAGCTAAAATTGCTTTTTTATATATATCTAGATATCCTATCTATCTATCGATATATATATATATATATATATATATATATATATATTCCACACTAACCGTAGCATGCAACGTACCTAGAGACGAACCCGACCGAAGCGAGGGTGAGCCGCTAGTTTTATATAAACACGCAATTTCTTAGTAGGTAGGTACATATATTTTTTTTTTGCTACAAGCGAAAGTACATAATGATTACGAGCTCTCTAACTTAAAGTAAAGAATCTGATTGATATATAAATGTTTAAAAACAAGAAAACTAAGAAATATCTGTTTAAGAAGTAAAATATATATTTTAAATGACTTCAAATATTCACAGATTTAATATTAATTATATGTGTAAATATATTTAAACAATAGAAATAAAACGCTGTTCTTTGTGGTAAGTGCATCACCCTAGAACGGCTGGAACGATTGGAGTAATATTTTTTTAAATGTTCGTAATATTCCGAATATCTGTATAAATTGGGAAATTTGGGCATTTGGCATTTGAGCTTTTTTCTATAAATGAAGTCTAAAATCACAATTTTTATTTAAATTTGGACATAACAGCATCTTTAGGTTAGCTAATTTTATTAAAAAAATAATACTTAGATTTGACTAATTAGGCACTTTAGAATAGGAGACGGCAATAACATTTTACTCTGTACATGTTCACATTTCTGAGCCAAGTGCATTTCATATCACCGGGGATGGTAAACTTAGTAACATCAAACATTTATTTATTTATTAAAAATATTTATTTATATATTTATTTAAATGTAAAATAAATATTACTATGTAAAAATAGATTCGATGACCTATAGGTATATTCATAGACTAATTAATGAAAACTCGAGATATTTACTGTCCCATGACTCTAAATAAATAATTACAAAAATTATTTAACGTCTCTACATAGAGACGTTTAAAAGAGAATTTTATTAAGAACTAGTGCCCTCGCTTCGTTCGAGTGCGTTTTAAATAGATTTGAATATTTTAAATAAAACTATCTTTTCTGATTTTGTCGCGGATTTTTTTGGATTTTTGTTTCCCGACGTTTCGAATGCTTTACAGCATTTTATTTAAAATGTCAAATATTCGCGTAAATCTAAGAAAGTGTTATAGATATGAATAGTTATCTCGAGTGTACCTTAGGAGTAAGATGTATGCATTGTAGATTTTTATGTAGACCTTTTTAAGACCTACAATTTTGTAGTACATTGTTTTGTTGTATCTCTTAAGGTTTAGCCAGCATTAGTCATGTAACTTTCTAAGAATGACTCGATAGAACCAGTTATTGTGTTTTCCCGTGGGAATGAAAGATTTTCCTCTAGTAAAAGGTATCCTAAATGATGCCCTGAGTACTAAGTTATAACTACACAAAATTTAGTTAAAATCTGTTCAGTACTTTTTGCGTGAAATTCAGAAGATTCGACTAAGTTACTGTTTTATTACATGTATAGATGTATAGATAAAATGTGCCTGCTTATAATATAAGCACTATAATATCAATTTGACTATGTATGAAATTCACTTAATTTTAAATTCAATCTGTTTGTACGAACGAAACTATTAATGTTTTTTTTTTAATTTTGGTTCCTCTTCTATACAAGCACAAATTTTGGAACAAATGTTTCTAGTATTTACTAGAAGAATCCACACCTCTATCCGTTACTTTACGCCATGATTAATTAAAATAAATATTTATTTAGGTTTTTTTTTTAATTTTAGTTATAGGTTTTTATTACGTTTATAATAAAAAAATATAGAAAAAACCATTTTTGATCATCCTTATTTATGGAACCCGTCAAAATGAATCAAATAAGTCCAAACTAGAAGTTTTTTAGCTATAGAAGAGTTCTATTCTACACATGCTGACTATCATCAGATCAGCTCGATGATCAAATTATTATACTGCTACCAGAATTTCACGTCCTTAAAAATGTCTAAACAATACGACAAACATTAGGTAAAATTAGCCTTTCAAATGTCAATATTCTTGTATAGTAAAATCCGTATGGCGCTAATAGAACATCATAATACGTAAGAAATTGCTTCAATCCGTTGCTCTGTTGGTGCATTAAAGTGGCATAAACAAAGAGTGTTGCCTTACAGATAATAATTTATAGTAATAATATAGATTACCAATTTACTATGCACAAAACGTATTATATATGATACATTTTACTAACAAAGGGCTCGTTGAATCATGATTTTAAAACAAAAGGCGTCTTTACCAAATACAGTTAACGCCAAAAATGGCAAATTTCAATAGAATGACTGTTCAGTCACTTCGTAACGGCTGAATGAATACGCGTTAATTTGAAGTACTTGGTTTTCTTGCTTTAAGATTGATGAGATGGAGAAGTAAAGATGTACAATTTAATTCTTCTTCAGTTTATCTCAATTTTAGACAAAATTCACCAATTAAATGGAGAAAGAAGAAGTTAGAAGATTGATAGGTGAAATACGTAATTGAAACTCTTAACAATGTCAATGCTCTCAATGCTGAAGATTTTAAATTATTAATTATACTAATAAATATCGATATATTTTATAGAAATAACTTATCAAAAGCACCAAGTCTTAGCAGATTAAGTAAAAATTAAATTTCTATAATAACTGACTTAAAATTCAGAAGGG